CTTGGGGTATATGGTGGGGACCGGATGCCACATGTAGAATTAGCAATTCATTGGTCCCCTGTGAATGTACAATGTGTCCTGGCACTGGTGAACACAGGAGTTGAATGTTCTCTGATTTATGGCAATCCTGAGTGTTTTCCTGGGACCCCTGCTGTGATAGATGGCTATGGGATAAGGCAATTGGAGTGAAGAAAGCCCAAATCCCATTGGGAATAGGGTGTTTACCCCCAAAGGAGTATACTGTGTACATTTATCCCATCCCTGAATACATTTTGGGGGTAGATATCCTGCAGGGCCTGTGGTTACAGACCACTGCAGGTGAGTTCAGACTGAGGGTACCTGTGGTAAAGGCAGTTCTGAGGGAACATGCTAAGGACTCACCTGTAGCTCTGCCTTGACCTCAGCAGGTGACAAATACGAAGCAGTATAAATTGCCTGGGAGACACAAGGAAATTGGAGAAACACTACAGGAGTTGGAGAAGGTGGGCATCATAAAGCCCACTCATAGTCCTTTTAATTCACCAGTGTGGCCAGTGAAAAAGCCGTACAGCTCCTGGCATATGAACGTGGACTACAGGTAATTGAATAAAGTCACATCCCCTTTGCATGCTGCTGTCCCCTCTATAGTATTCATTATGGACACACTCAATCATGAACTGGGGATGTATCATTATGTTGTGGACCTCACTAAAGCTTTCTTCTCTATTGACATAGCATAGGAAAGTCAGGAACAGTCTGACTTCATGTTGGAAGGCTGGTAGTGAAGATTCAGTGTTCTTCCACAAGGATACCTCCACAATCCCACCATTTGTCACAGACTTGTAGCCCAGGACTTGGCCACATGGAAGAAACCGCAAATAGTGGGGTTTCTTACTACATTGATGATATTATGCTTACATCTGATTCTCTTTCGGATTTAGAAGGGGCTGTTCCTAGACTGTTGCAACTTCTACAGGAGAAAGGATGGGCTGTAAACAGCAACAGGGTTCAGGGACCTGGTTTGTCTGTAAAATTTCTTGGAGGTTGTCTGGTCAGGTGAAACTAAAGTTATTCCTGAAGCAGTCAGATGAGGTCCAGGCTTTCCCTATCCCTACCACTGTGGCAGTATTACTAGAGTTTTTGGGTCTTTTGAGCTACTGGAGAGAGTTTATCCTGCAGTTACCACAAATTCTGAAGCCCTTATACTGGTTGGTACAAAAGGGTATCAGGTGGGCCTGGGATGAAACATGTGTAGCTGCTTTTACTGCTGTTAAGCAAGCAGTCAAGGCTGTACAGGCCTTGAGTGTAACAGACTCATCAAGGCCCTGTGAGCTAGATGTTCATGTAACCGAAGATGGTTATGGATGGGGTCTTTGGTAGCAGCTTGAATGGACAAGGCAACCAACTGGATTCTAGTCACAACTATGGAAAGGAGCAGAGTGTGGTATACCTTGATAGAGAAGCAACTGGTTGCTGTGTACCACATTTTGCTGGTTATGGAGCCCATCACTGTAGCAGCTCTGACCAAGGTAATAACCTCCTATCCTATCACAGGGTGGGTGTGAAACTAGACCCAAAGGCCACAGAGTGGTGTGGCATAGATGCCTACACTGGCCAAATGGGGGCACATATCTACAGCAGTGCAGTGCCCTCTCTACTAGCCCCTTAAGTGGAGAACTCCAATGCTTATTGGGGCCAGTGACCTATACCAGTGGAAAGCAGAAAGAACTTGCTTTTGAGCCATTGGTAGCTGAGAGTCCTTATCAGGAGTGAAAAGCCTCTATACCTGAAGATGCTTGGTGTACAGACAGCTCTAGTTGTGGGCAGCCCCCGAAGTGGAGGGTTGTGGCTTTCCATCCTAAGACTAAGACAGTATGAATGGAGGATGGAGAGGGAAAGAGCAGTCAGTGGGCTGAGTTGCCGGCAGTACGGCTTGTGATCACTCAGGAGTCTTCCTCTATAGCTGTCTGTACTGACACCTGGGCCATCTATTGGGGCTTGACCCTGTGGCTACTGACATGGCATCATGCCAGTTGGATGGTTGATCACCGGCCCCTTTGGAGGCAAGAGTTGTGGCAAGACCTATGGGCCTCTGGTCAGACTAAGACTGTTACCATATATCATGTGACTGGCTATTTGCCTTTGGTATTCCCAGGGAATGAGGAAGCAGACACACTGGCCCATGTGTTGGCTAAAAGGAAAGCCTGCCTCTGATGCAGCCCAATGGTTATATCAGCATTTGTTGCATGTGGGGCATAAGACAATGTGGGCTGTAATCTGTCAGTGAGGCTTGCTGTTGACCTTTGGACAAGTCAGCAGAGCCCAGAAGGAGTGCCTTGTGTGCTCTAAGACGGACTGACACGGAGTCCTGCAGCAACATGGGAGAATAGTAAAGGGGCCAATACTCCATGTCAGGAGGCAGACAGACTATATTGGGCCTCTGCCCATATCAGAAGGATATGGGTATGCCATGACTTGTGTGGACACATCTACTGGACTGTTGGTTGCTTTTCCTGCATGTGGTACTGATCAGCAAACCACCAAGAGGGGTCTAGAGCATCTCTTTGCAGTCTGTGGCCAGATGCAGGTGATTAAGAGTCATCAAGGCACTTTACTGGACATGTGTCAGAAGAACAGGTACAGCAATTAGTAATAAAGTGGAAGTTTCATGTACCGTATAACCCTACTGGGGCAGGCATGATAGAGAGGTACAACGGTTTGTTGAAATCCTGCCTGAAGTCGGAAGCCGATAGTCTACAGGGCTGGGTAGTTTGCTTATAGACAGTGCTATGGTGTTTGAATGAGAAGCCCCAAAAAGGAGCCTTGATCCCTGTGGACATGCTAACACACATTGCTGCCTCTCCTATACAACTGTATGTGCAAACCAAAGAGCAGTTACTGAAGCCAGGATATGGCCAGCAGAGCAACATCCTGCTGCCAACCCCTGATCCATTAAACCCTGGAGACACAGTTGAGTGGACGTGGCCCTGGACATTTCGACGCATGGACCAGTGATGGCTGGCCCTTCTGGCACCTTGGGGAAAAGGCCTGGAAGCTGGTCTCATGTGTATTTCTGGAGTAACAGCTGAGCGGCCCCCAAAGATCATGGTACTGTACCCAAAATGGGAGATAAGAGCATCTAATAGGAAAGTTTTGTTTTATCTTTATGGCCAGTGCATATACCTCCCATAGTCCTATATATTGACCCATCTGTAACTCCCACAGGAAGCAGGTGAAATCTTGTATACTAGACCAGGACAAGGTCCCATCTATCACAGGACCACTCTCTTGCATATACCCTACCTGATGGACAAGACCTGCCTATGCTGGTGTCATTAAAACACGTATGTTATCACCCTAAAAGTTATTTTCTTCTATAGTCCCTGTGGCCTGGATGCACCCTTTGCTGCAGCTACCATGTGATGATTGCTACTGCATGCCTGTGGAATGGGTGAGCTATGGACTTAATCTGCATAGGACTTTGAACGTAGCTGAATCCTCCATCTTGAGGATTATCATGATTTTATTGCTGTTGCTATTGTATGTCATTATTCTAGTTTCAATGCTCCAGTTTTCTCACCCAGGGACCATTGTGGAAAATGGGAAACAAATAGATTGTAAGGTGAGATTTCTGGAGGGGTTGCCTGTGGGTAAAACTGCAATATTTCCAGAATCTCTCACCTTGCTTTATTTAGTGCATCTCCATACCAACAGGTGTTTCCCAGGGGTGGAGAGAGGTAGTCTATCTCCATATCAGTGGGAATTTACATGGGTGAGTGAGCAAGGGCTTATATGGACTGGAGAGGTTGCAGGAAGGATGCGCTGCTTCTGCCACAGTAGGAGAGAGAGAACTGAAGGAAGACTGCTTGTAAGCAATAAATGGGTTTTAAACTTTATTTCTCCCTTTGACTGATTTTGGTTTCAAAGGCATTTTGCCCTAGGATTTCCCTTCCCTGGAGTTACAACCACAAGAGAATATATCATCTCACTCTTGTCAGAATGGCTAGTATCAAAAAGAAGTAACAGGTATTGGTGAGGATGTGGAGAAAGGGAACCTTCATGCCCTGTTGGTTGCAGATGTGAATTGGCGCAGCCACTATACAAGGCAGTTGGAGGTCTGCCAAAAAAATTAAAAACAGAAATACCATACAACCCAGCAATCCCATATCTGGATATTTAACCAACAACATGAAAAACTAATTCAAGAACACATATGCACTCTTGTGTTCATTGCAGCATTATTTACAATAGCCAAGATACGGAAGCAACCAAAGTGTCCATCAATAGATGAATGGATAATATATGGGGTGTGTGTGTCATATAATGGAATATTAGTGAGTCATAAAAAGAGAGTGAAATCTTGTCATTTACAACAACATGGATGGACCAAAAGAGTATTATGCTAAGCAAAGTGAGTCAGAGAAAGACAAATACCATTATTACTTCACTTATATGTGGATCCTAAAAAAAAAAAACAACAAATGAACAGACAAAACAAAACAGAAACAGACTCATGGATACAGAGAACTGATGGTTGCCAGAGGGGAATGGGGGAGGTGGGTGACATAGGTGATGGGGATTAGGGGGTACAAACTTCTAGTTACAAAATAAGTAGGTTAAGGTAATGTAAAGTCCAGAGCAGGGAAGACAGTCAATTTTGTAATAAGGTGTACGACACACTATTTATATACAACACTTACGTACATTATAAAATGCTCACCACCATAAGCATAGTTACCATCTGTCACCACACAAAGCTGTGACAATATTATTGTCTATATTCCCTACGCTGTACTTTCTATCCTTGGGTCTTACTTATTTGGTTCCTGGAAGATTGTACCTCTTGATCCCCTTCACCTGTTTCCTCCTTCCTCTCACTCCCTCCTCCTCTCTGTATTTATGAATCTTAATTTTGCAGTTTCAATTTCTAACGGTGAATATTAAAACATATAACCCACATACACAAAAACCTGAGAACTGCTGTCTCACGGTGATTATGTAAAAGGAAAAAGTTCACTAACCTGCACAAGAACAAAGTAACGTTTCTTCCATCTTTTCCAAACCTTCTGTCCAAGGGCGTACAGGTATCTGGTGAAAGACAAGCAAAAAAATACTTCTGTAGATAATGTGGCTCTGTGTAACTCCATTTCTTCCATAGGTATTTATACTTGCCACCAGCCCGCTAAAGGCAAAGTTTAGTGTATTTGGAATCAGAGAGGACACGCAGCTTCTATGCTACAAAATGACTGAGCTTATTCTAGGTTCTTGAAAGGGAATTGATTTATGTGGCTTATCAATTTGTCAGTTCTTACCACAAATTGAGTGAAGTTGGAGGCAGAAAGGATAATCAAAGAACCAGTAGGAATTTTATTTGTATACACACTTCTTAGGAGAGACCAAGCTACACATTGAGGATGCAGTGCTAACCGCTTCAGCTCTCAGATGACCAGGGCTGAGGGATGCGGCCTGAGGAGGAGGTGGCTGTAGAGTCAAGTTCCCAGGGTGAAGGGCCCCTGTCCAGCTGGGTGACCCCGAGACGCACCTGCCACGATCTGACTCCATTTGCTTAACCATCAAATGAAAGCATTGAATGTGCTGACTTCTAAGATCTCTGCCAGCCCCAGAATATGAATTCAGCTGCCTTCAGGAAGCATTTTGCTGCAAAACTTTCCAACTATAAAACCCAGATAATAATGAAGATGACACTGTGCAATTTAACAGAGTTTCAACCAGGATTTTTAACTATTAGTAACCTGAATTGCAATGATTAAAGTAGTCAATCATTTGAGAATAGAACTTTTGTTCTTACTGAATATGTAAATGGAAGGTTAAGGAGGAAGGAGGAAAAGGAAGAAATTAAAAATTAATCACGTGTGAGTGTGTCATGAAGAGGATTTTAAAATTATATCACAAAACTATACACACACACACACCTCCTACAAAAGTGGAAAACATTGTTAGAAGTTTAAAATTTGACAAACAGAGGCCTAATTTAAAAAGCCCTAGAGCTAGCTAATGATAGTTTATGGAGGGGCTTAAAAAAGTCTCTAGATGTTCTCTCAGTTTTTGCAACTAAATTCCTACATTGAATTTCTAGCTTCTGTCTTATTAAAATAATTTTCTTTTGCAAAGCAAATATACTTTCTGCCCCTTTTTAAGTAAGACGGGATGTTAGCTAAGGTGTGTTGCAGTAAATGGACAATCTTACTCACTACTAGCAGTGTAATGTAAGACTGCCTTCCTGTAGGATAACACAGAAATAGGTGCAAATAGCTCTACCTTTGTATCTTGAAATTAGGGAAATAATTAGAGATGCATCTAGAGATGTATGCTACATGGATACACAGAACAGAGTTATTTATATTATTGAAAATGTAACTACTTAAATGTCCAATACTAGGTGAATTGTTTGACAAATGCTGTCATGTAAACAGAAAGAAATACTATGCTTTTACTGATATTTTTATAAAATCTTATTGTATCACTTTATATAATGTTATGTGAAAAGAGCAGGCTCAAAACTACATACTTGTGATTTGGAATTTGTAAAAAAAAGTGTAATAAATATGCCAAAATACTACTGATACTTTCTTTGGTGGGATTATGAAAGATTGAAATTTACTTGTTTACTCACTGTGGTGAGTAAAAGCTTTTATAGATAATATTAATGGTTACAGACACTACACGTAAGTCAACTACTGGACCGTGGATCAATACCAATAAAATTTTAAATCTCTAATAACATTGATAAACAAAGACAATATAGTTAATTTTTCAAAATGCCCATTCTCCCACTCCCGTCAAGTTATTCTGTCATAAACACTGAAGGAGGAAGGTGTGCAGTCACAATGGTAATGACGACGACAAAAGCAGGCTGAACTTCAGCTGCTGTTCAAATGTACAGGCCATTCCTAGCTCAGTATACCTATTTCATAAAATTGAATTTTCTAAAACTTAACAAACACATCAGAGAATTCAGTGGATAAGAATCATGTGGACTCTTTAGCTTGTGCTTTTTGTGGGTCTCCAAATTTATCTTCCATGCGTGTTTTTTTAAATTTCCTTTTATTTGTATTTAAAACAAATTTTTAATACCCCTCTCATGCATTTGTCCCACCTGCCACCCCCCTCCCCCACCCCATCGCTGGGAACCATCAATCTGTTCTCTGGATCTATAAGCCTGCTTTCTTGGATTTGAAATTTTCCAGAATAAAAACAAACAAGCGTGGGGTTAGTAAAGGTCAAAGTAAAAATGAGGCTCTTGCATTGGAAAGCATCATTCTTGCTGCCCAAATCAATTATGTGTTTACTTTTAGATACATCACCTAGCTGAGGTATTTGGTGAACTTCTGTTCGGCTTTCACAATATCCTTGATAATGTGTTGTCTACATTTGTGGGTGTAATGCAAAACATTTCTGACTGACAGACAGATGCCTACTGCTACGGTTCTCTCCTATTCATGATCTCCTCCCCAGCTCCCCTTCGAACCTTTGCCCCACCTCTGCTCTCACTTCTAATTTCTCTTCTGTGGTGCTGGTGATAGGTGGTCAGCTGCTCTGTCTTTCCTACGTAATTTCCTTCTCCTGAAAGGCACACACCCCATTCTTACAGGGTTAACAGCAATAACCTCAGGAGTTAGACACTGTGGACATGACAGATGCCCTCTGTAAAAGTGCACTAGCCGAGATGCATGCCAAATAGCTGCCTAGGAGCCACAGAGGGCATTAGGAATAACCTTTTCCTGTGACCACAGCCTGCTTTTCAGCCCCTCAAAGTGTCTCACTTAGCATGCTGCCGGGCAACTGGGTCATATGGAACTGGAAGTGAACAGTGATATGCAAACAATCACCACTACAAGCAAGTCAAGCGTGAGTCTTGCTGAAAGTGAAGGTCCTGCAAAAGGAGTAAACTGTCAGCTGTCTCATCGTTCAAAATGATGGGCAACAAATACGGAATGAAAATGCATGGATTCTCTCAGCACAGAAAATAGAGGGGTGGGTGGATGCAGACATGTGTATATTGGAAGATGTTGTAAGATAATCAAATCAAAGACAATTCAAGACTGGAACCAAGGTAAGCATTTGAATGTTGGGCCTTGAGGTATTTGGGGCTATTACTGCACTTTAAGAAAGCATTCAACTGAACATATACAGAAGATCTCACAACTGATCAAACATACCTAGAGCTTTATACTCTGCCTAAGAAAATAATTATACCCAAAAGATAAATTGCATAAAGGAAATGTTATAAATGCTATACAGGAAAAATACAATAGTTTCTGTCCTTTAGTTTCCATATTAGTCAGGTAAAAAATTTTATGTAAAAAAAGTGGACATGAATAATGTCGCAATATCCTTGATACTTGTCTACATTTGTGGGTGTATCGTAATACACTGGCAAAGGTAACTATAATGAATAAGAGCACATTAAACTTCAACAAATGATAATACCCAGAATGGGTGAATTTTACTTCATGTAAACTACACCTATAAACCTTACTTTACAAAAATGGAAAACATGCTCAGTGTAGAAATTGTGCAAAGGCAGAAAGACGTAAAGAAGAATATAAAATTCATCTTGAATTTCATCAGCCATATAATAACTGCCGGTTTAACATTTTCGTGCATCTTTCTGGGTGTTTCTCCCATGCATATACTATAAGCTCATATCACTACTTTTTTTTTTTGACTTTATAATAATTTTTCCATATCATTCTTTTTTGGCATCACTTTTAAGGGCAACCTAATCATTCCTTACCATTTGATTTTTAGATAGTTTTTGAGTTTTTGCTTTTAAACAATATTGATGAATGTGTCTTCTGTGCCAAGAATTTGCCTTTATACCAGTGAAAGGGCAGCTAGATAGTGATCCTTGACACCTGTTCCAGAACTCATCCTTGTGTGGGCAGATGTTTTCATTTTTCCCAGGTAAATGTCTGGGAGTGGAATTACTGATCATACAAAGTGCGTATTTAACTTTAGAAGAAACTGCCCAAGTGTTTTCCAAAGTGGCTGTACAATTTTGCATTACCAGTAGCAATGTATGAGAATACATCTTACTTTTTAATCAGAAAAATTTACTAGTATTAAGGTTTTGGGGGATGTGGTCACTATAGCTCCGTAAATAGTATTTCTGGTATGATTAAGTTGAATACTTATAGGCCAAAGATAAGGATTTTTGCCACTTTATCTTGAGCACAGTGGAGAACTCCCATAAGCTTTAACGGTTAAACAGGTTTTCCAGTTTTCAAGGTTATTCTCAAGTTCTGGAATTTGAAACAGTCTAAAGTCTTGTAAGTGTGTAGTCTTGTCAACTTTGGCAGGGCTGATGTGTGAAGAAAGTATGGAAAAAGGAGCCAAAATTATTTGAATATTTGGTTATAACCAGATAATCCATTTATTTGAAACATCTATAAAAATCAAAATTCACTCTTTCCTAAACCCATCTATTTCCCATTATTTCCTAACTCAGCCTAGCATTGCTGTTGATCACAGTTCTAGTCGTTCATTGTTGTTTGTTTTAATGTTGAGTGTCAGATCATATATGATTTCTCTCATGCAGAAAATCCAGTAAGTTTTTTCATTTAGAAAAATATACTAAATTATGTTTAACATATTATGTTTTACTCAGCAACAGATTCAGTTTATTACTTATATAACAATGTTAAAATAGTCTTTAATTAGTGAAAAATGAATCACTCAGATTATATAACAGATTTTCAAAAAATTGTCTACAGTAGGTTGACATCACTTCAGATAATCATACAACATAATTTGATGATTTATGTTTTAAACCCTTTCTTTAATGATTTAAAAGTCTACAGTGTCTCTGGCTTATTATTATGAATATCAGTTGTAACTGCATAATTCTATGAAAGGAGAAGTTACAGCTGATTGGGCTAAATCCAACTATTAGATGTACAGTGGTAATAGAATCCACCCTTGAAAGCGATTTAATTATCATCTATTCCTGTTTCATAAAAATAGCTTAGAATTTCTGAAAATCTGTTAGTATTTTCTTATCGGAATTCTGGACAAAGTATCCTTTTAGTGCTTTAGGAAATCCGATTCTACCCAATGAAGGCATA